GACGATGCACTCACTGTGGTCGCTCTGGCCACATTCACACCAAACATCCTGAACCCCAACTAATTCATCTTGCTCTCATCTGATTAAAGAATGTGTTGCCACCATTCATCAGGTTTCTTGTGCTTTAGGTCAGTTCAATTTGGCAGTTTTTGCGTTGGAGAACATGCGAGGGTGGTTTTCTCTGATGCCGCCCGTTATGCAACGTCATTCACACGATCCACAGTCACAGGCAGATGTTGATTGATGATCTCTGTACCAGGTATGAAGCACTTGTCCGTCTGTTTTTCACTGAGCCTCCTGCTTTCGTTTCTGTCTTGCTTCATAATTAAAAAGTGTTTAAAAAATAAATAAAAGGTGAAGAGGAAATGTGTGTTCGAGCTGTTGTGACTAAAAGCCAATCTAGCATTCTGGCACGTTAGCGGTGAGCTCACCAGCTACTGTCGTTCACTTTCTGCCTCGTCAGACGTCACTGCATCAGCAAGCTTCCACGTTCTACACAATCCTACATCTGGTGAAGACACAACAAGCCATCACTCTGATGTCACCAAGCGTTAAGAAATAAAAACCTTGATGATGTCATGAGACTCTTTTCATTCGGTGTCAGTGAGTGAAGATTGTTAACGAGAAAGTCAAACTGAGGGTGTGAGCCTGAAAGACAGGAATACTGTGCAAAGGTTCTAATTAAAGATGATACTGGTTGATTCACTGAGATAATCGAGGGACCTGGAATACTTCTGTAGATAGACAGATAGATCTGGATTCATGGATTCATCCTTTCCAGAGAACGTCCTCAAATGTGTTCTCTTCTTTTCTGAACGATATTCGGTTCACTGTAATGTACGACGAAGGAAAGCGTCAAATCAAATGTTTAGCAGAACTACTTGAAAGAGAACTAAAACAGGGACGTGCTGATCATGATATTTATTCATTTATTTCTTTTCTTTTTTTTTTTTTACTATTTTATTGATAGTCATTGATGTTTGTGTAACTATCTCAAAAAAAGTGTAAATGAGCAGAAAATGGTGCACAAAACATGCATGTTCCCGTTTGCTAGCGTGGTACAGGCATAAAAGATTACAGATGACAGCGTACACGTACAAATGAAAGGAAAAACCAACATGAACCCACCAGGACAGCTTCAGTGCATTTTGGCATTGATTCTCCAAGGATGGAGCACCACTCTTTCCTCATTTGGTGTTTTGATGGTGGTGGTGGAGAGCGCTGTGTGTGATGTCAGTCCAAAATCTCCCATAGATGTTCACTCATACTGAGATTAAACTGTGAAGACCTTCCCATTTGTCATCAAACCACTGAGCGAGGCCACTCCAATCAGGGAAGAAATGTTTCATCACACGGATAAAGGTGATCACTCAGAACAACTTTGCACTGATTTGCAGTGAGCTTTCTTCTAAAGGGTCAAGTGGACTCAGACCATGCCAGTAAAATACCCCTCACAACATAACAGAGGCAGTTCTTCCGTTCATTTGCCCCCCATCAGTCGAGATACAGAGCGGAATAAAATGATTTAAACCCCATTTCTCTTTGCAGTGAAACAGTCATAAAAAAAATAAAGTTTATCACTTAAAACTCAAGTCAGAAGATCACAGACAAAAATGTCTCACACCTTTTTTAACTTTGGCAGATAAATTGAAGGTGAAAATAGTCGACCAGGGAGACCAGGAGAGGAACTGAATCAGGAAAAGCTGTGCATGGAGGGGTTAAAACTTATCCAAATATTTTCTGTGGACAGCTCCACTCCCAAAGTATCAGTATCAGGATAGGTCTTCAAAAACCCACAAGTGGCGTCTATGCAAAATGAACCCTGTCACACACCCTCCCACCCCTAAAAATACACACAAACATGCACACCTGCCTGTGCACCGATAAGACGTCAACCACCGCCGCTCCAAATGTGTTTGCACACCGGTGTCGGTTGACTGCACTTCCTCATTGAACGACTTGAACAATTTATTCTGACGCGGAGCCGAATCCGAGGGGGAATTTAGATTGAGATTGAAAAAAAAAAAGAGAAAAAAAAAATCAGACACGACCTGAAAGCCTTGAGGGAGGGAAAGAAGGGAGGGAGAGAGAATGGGCGGGCGGGCGAGTGAACCTGAGGCGGAGAGACAGCGAGATATATGAGGCTGTCACTCAACATTACAGCATCACTACAAGCTGGACAATCATTAACACGGCTAATGAACACAGCGGGGCCGTGCTGCAGTACCAACCACGCTCACATATAAAGCCACAGTGGGGGAATTTCATTAGTCTTGCTACAGCACTGATATAATCCACTGATTGTCAACCTGGAACTGCTCGTACCTGGAAGGACTGTGAAGTAGCTTGAAAAGTGGAAAAAAAAAAAAAAAGAAAAAGAAGTAGAAATGCTGACTTGATTGTATGGGATGGATGTACAGTAAGTGGGTAAAAGTTCTAAAAGGGTGAATCTTCCAGCTGCATGGAGCGGTATAGGATCCAGCACAGCCCGAATTAACCGCAACAATTAAAGGTGGAACGCTGTCAAATACGTCCATGAAGCCGTCCCACTGAAGCCTGGCACAGCCTGAGGGGTTGGAACGCTTTATGCCACCAGAGTAACCATCACACGGCAAAAACCATGCTTTGTAAATAAAAATAAAACAAACATTAACAACATATTTTGATATTTTGCATCCATGGACTTGGAAACAGTTTTGGCACCAAGAGTCTAAATGAAAGTGAAACTAATTTGTCATTTCATCACCTCTAAAGTGAAGTCAGGTGATTTCCTGGCGTGCTCCGTCAGCCCATGTCTTGTGCCTTAAGCAGTGTAAGAATATACGACGCTGTATGGGCGTGTCCTGTCAACACACTGTTCACACGCTCCGAGTCTGATCAAACAAAACAATAACCAACAAAAAAAAAAAAAAAAAGGCCAAGTTTGAACAGAGCGTGACATCTAGGTTTTTGTGCTCTAATTTTGTTTTGCGTTTACAAACCTCTCTTTGCGAAACGCTTTCTTTCTAACCTGAATTCTGAAACTGAGGAAACTCTGTATTCACTTACAGAGTGTCAAACGACTGCTCTTATCTAATCTGCACGCCTTGGAATGATTTGCCTAACCCTTTTATCGCAGCGACAAGAAAAGCTTTTTGGCCCACTGAACTGGGTTCTTTACACTCATGTTTCGCTCCACGTTCAGGATTTTCAGGAACAAGTATTTGGCAGTTTGGAAAAGTACGTAATAAAGAACGAGGGACATTCTGACCTTGACTTAGCCTCCCCTTTAGATCTTTAAATTCAACATATACACACAGTGCAGTGCACTGGAACATCATAAACTGGTTATTTTAGGCTCGTCCACGACCCACTATCGTGCTATAAAGACTATGATGCTGTTAAGAAATCTTTTTTTGTTGTTGTTTTCTTTTCATTTACTAGCTGTCAGTGGCCAGGCGCAGACACACAACCCCCACAGAAAACACACAGAAATGAAAAGAGCGAGAAAAAAAAAAGGAATAAACTTAACGAGGTCATCTTCAGGTCTGTGTCACAATCACACCCAGCGGTAGGAGCATTCATTACAAACTGATGATGATGACATGATGATGGTCAGCAATGATACGAGCCTTCAAATACTGAAAAAGGAAGGAAGCGGTCTATATCAGAGTTCATGCAACTCTGGGCTTTTTTTCAGTTATACTCAGGCTAAACTGTCAGCCTAATTTGTAGATGTGGAAAAAAAAACAGACATCCTCACCACGTCAAAAATAATCAAAACTGAAAATCTGAGAAAACAAATAAAAGAAAAGAAACGATACAAAAGCTCTCCGGTACGTAAAGTCTACGTCCGTATTTACTGTAAACATCTCTGGAGCTGCAGAGACGTGTAAAGGTGTAGAAAATGTAGGCACAACGGGAAAAAGAGTCTGTCAATTTAAATGTAACATTCTTGATTCTCATTTAGCCGGAATCTGAGGCCAAACACATGACGAGTCCTATAATCACTTCTATATTTGTGGAATATTTGCTTGAGATTGCAGAAGGGCAACATGCTTAAATACACCGTAATCATTAGAGCAAGACTGAGGAGACGTAATTAGAGCTTTGCTCTGTGGAGATCCACATCTTCATGCTTTCACTTCAGAGTTTTCTCTTGAAGTTATTTATTCCTATTAAACATTAGATTTTAAGATGAATCATAAAGATTGTGCTCCTCTTTTAAATCCTACAAGCGGTTTGGTTTCTGATGCATTGTTTTCATGTGCAGATGGACAAAATTATTTTTACAATATTTAAACACTAAAAATATATTTTAATACAAACTTTAAAGCATTGTAAATGTAAACAATGTTGTATTTTTTTTATTAAGCATCTGAAATTCTTTGAGCCTCTGTATCTCCATATAATACAGTCCCTGCTGCACTGTTGGGACCTGAACTACTAAATATAACAGCCATTATTATTATTATGACAATAATAAATGATACGTGTCATTCAGGGTGTTTCTGCTTCAGTCATCATTGCAAAGTTTCAGTTGAGGGTTTGGAGCTGGTAGGGCGTAGCCTAGTGGTGCTTCAGACGCAAAACTAACCACAGATGTATTGTCTTGGTTCAACCAGGAGCACAGGACCACATCCAAACACTCAGTTCCTCAAACACAAATAATACTATTTGAGGATGAAGTCGTCTTTTCCTTCTTGTTCTTTCTTTTTCTATTTTTTTTTTTTTACTCTGCTGAAAAGTTGAGTTTTATCCCCAAAGCTCCAAAACCGTGAAATTGACCAAACGAGCCAAAAAAAAAAAAAAAAACAAAAACGCTGCACCTCGAAGTAACAGAAGCAGATAATAAGAAGAGGCAGAAATATCTCTCTTTACTCTGAGGCAAATGGTGAGGCCACTAATGAAGTGTGACTTTTCCCTCTCCATCCTCATCTCCTCCTAACTTGCGAGTCCAGGACCGTGTGAGACAAAGACCGGGCTGTTGGTTGTTCTAAGAATCAAAGCAGCGGACGTACCTGAGAAGAAAAGAGCGAAGACGATCCCGGGGAGAATCATGTTTGCTGTGCTCGGGACGCCCGGTGGGGGGTGAAACGAGTGGATGTTGGACGGGACTTGGTGCGTCCTCGGCTGGTCCAGCAGCACCGCTGTGCGCCCCGGAGAAAGACACCCAGCTCGCCGCGCGGACACTATCCGTGCGTCCGCCTTTTGTCCTCCGCCGGCGACGGTAAAGTCCCTCAAGTTTCCACCAGCTCCCAGATGGGAGAAAGGAAAGCCTCGGAGGAATGTGTCGGAGCGAAGTACGCGCCGGAGAGGCAGCAGCTGAGAGAGTGAGCGTGTCTGTGCCAAAGCTCCAGATTTCACACCGCGCCGCTCCGAGAAATCAACTACTGGACGGAGGAAATGTCAAGCGTCACCTGGCTGCAGCTGTGCCCGCGGACGGTCATCACGACGCGGCTCCGCTGGTGAAGGGTCCCGGTGCATTCTGCGATCATGATGCTGACGGGCAGAGGAGGCTGGGGTTATTAACTGGTGATATCCCTCCTCCTCCTCTTCCTCCTCCTCCCCCTCAGACCATCATCATCATCATCACCATCACCATCACCACCACCTTTTGGGACAGCCTGATGAGAACAGTCCTTTAATAAGGTCCAGGTCTTAGAAGTGAAATTGAAGAAGTGAAATTAGGAAGAAGTGAAATTAGGAAGAAGTGAAATTAGGAAGAAGTGAAACTGTAAGTTGCTTCTTATGTTTAATTTTGTGTTTCTGCAACTGCCACAACTGCATGCATTGTTATTCCATGTGTCTTTGGAAACAGGAGCAACATTCGCCCTCACCTTTCTGCATAAAGCTGCACATGTTTGTTCTGTTAGTAACTGTATGCTGTTCAATGGGCCATTTAACCTCAGAATTGCGCCGAGTTTTCTCAAAGATGTGATGCCTCCCGAGTCCAGCAGTTTGGACACATCAATGAGACTTTAATGGTTTTATGATTTCGTTGTGATGGAGGTAGATGCACCATGAGAAAGGAATATTCCACCAAAACCACACAAGAGCCTTGCCTTTAATGTAACAGAACTCATTTTTAACAGAAAGCTACGTAAACACAAGCCCTCAAGCCAAGCAGCTGGAGGGGAAATGTCTCTGAAGAATGGCATCTCTCCAGAAATGTGTGGACCCTGGAGGAGGACTGAGCCTGTATTCAAATAAAGGAAGTGACTTCTGTTGCATTGACTGACTCCAGTGGATTCTTATGTAGTTCATCTAAACTGTTTCATTTGAAACCCTACAGATCAACTAAGAAGTAATGCAGCTCCTGTGACATAAAGTTGTTGTTTTGCTTTTGGTTATAAAGATCTCATCAGAACAACTGCAGCCTTGACTTTTTAGTCTGATCATATTTGCACCTTGCTCAGTTTTCAGCCTCTGTGCTTCACATCATTCAGTTTTAAAGTAAAATAAGCGACGCTACGGTAATGTGCCAAGTCTCAGCTTTATTTTGAGCAGGCTTACATGAATGTAGAAGGGTTGCTGTGTGAGACATAGCCCTTTGAGCGCTCACATTTTAGGGGTTCAAGAGGAACCAGATCATGTTTAAGATTAAGGTGGAGCTGTCCGTCGATATGAAAAAGTGAACCATGCAAGAGACAAAGGAGAACTGAGCCTCAAAAAACAAGCATAAACCTCCTGTCAAAGTGAGCTGCTATAGTTTGGTAGCTAATCCGACATCAACATGGAGGTGCTCTGTTAGGGCTTGTGCATGTACGATGGACAGTAGAGCTGCCACACTGTCATTTATTATTGATGATTTCGCTGCTTATTGGAGCAACATGTTGGATGCAGATGTATATGAAGGAGCATTCTGCGTGTCCACATTCAGCCAAAGACAACTTAATGGAAGACGTTTCGATGCTAAAGCAACCAAAGGGCTTTTGGGAGGTGAAGAGGTCGAACATCCTTCAGTCACCTCTCATCATCCTGTTACTCTGTGGTCCTCTACATCACGTAGCCTTAATGTTGTGCAGCACAATCATGTTGTAAATGTACAGTGTTGACCAGACGTGATGTAGTTGACTGTTGTATGTATCAGATGCCGTTTTTATTTCAGCGAGCTCTGAGACATATAAATCTCCAAAAGGAACATCACAGAGTTATACACCTAATACACCCTCGGTAATACGTGGAACTTTATAATGGTTTATATTGCATCGGCTGACAAGAATGAGGCAGGAACTATAAAAGGAGGCAAAATTTTGAGGGGATTATGAAATATTACAATAATGGGATACTTCCTCCCACCGAGTTATTTTGCCTGTGCAAAGCAGTGGATTACAAAGTGGGGTCATTTGGAGGGCTGCAGGGCCTCCACCTGTTAAACCACTGTAGCGTCACTCTCATTTCATTTGCACATAAGACCACAACAGAATCATAAAAGACAGACTCGCACTGCCTGCAGTAGGAACATGTTGCTACATTAAGCATAGCGAGAACACCACCCGCGTGTGTCTCTTGTGGAGTTCTTTGACATTTTAGAGGCTAAGATCTGCTCCCGACTCCTCACAAGCAACACAAATAATTGCAGTAAAAAAAGGAATAACTTTTTATTCTTTGGAATTACTTGTGGCTCTTTTTTTTTGAACCTGTGCTACTTTTGAAATGTTGTTAAATTTTTGTCTTTGCATTCAAAAAGCATGGAATGCAGGTTGTTTTTGTCTGACTGGATGGTTGCTGTGTCCAATTAGGCAACTGTAGAATCATAAATTCTGGCTGTGACTTGGCCGAGACAGATTACCTGATTAAAGACCAGTCATCAGGAAGTCGGTGGTTAGGAACCAGCTTCAAGACACGATGTGAGAGAAGGTAGCAGAGGTCAGGATGTCAGGAAGGATCCAAGATGCATCATTGGTTCTCATCCACTAGGAGACAATACACAGGATTAAATCATATTTGATCACAACACCCTACTTTTCTAGGTTAGAGCTGTTTTCACTCTGACATTGTTCCGTCTGAACTGGCTGCCATTTGCTCTAAATGGATCATTGTACCCTGTTCTTAAAGGACCTACAGTGTGTGAAAGTACCCTGAGCCATAATTAAACCAATAATTTAAAAGGACTGAAAGGTTCAAAACGCTGTCAAAAATATACAAATGTAAATCAACTAATTGTGGTTATGAACTACTCCTTCACGTACAACAATGGGTTGCACACATGTTTTTGTTTGGCCTCTGTGCAGGACCAATGGTGCCAAGTCAGGTAACCACACAGCAAAGACACACCTGTAGAAAAGAATCTCACAATCTCACAGATTTTTATAATGTGTACATCTACAACAAAGAACCCACAACTGTGTCAGTCACCAGCCACTGGGCCTGTCATCACAATCTTCCATCAGAGATGCTCAAACACACAAAACACATCATTTTAAATTCTAATGTAGACACTTTACAGACCATTTCTACAGCCAAATACACCAGGCTGAAACTGGAGCAAGTTGTCAGACAGTGAGGAATGAGATGATTTTAAACCTCATGATCGTGTTTTTAACAGGGTTACTCACATTTATTTGTATGGATTAACAGATGTCCAGCATTTAGCGACAGGCTTGAGCTAACCATGAAGAGGTTATTGCTGCTGGGACAAAAAGCCACAAAGACACACGTCTGTATCACTGTGTCTGAGTTTAGTCGGTAGAACAGTGACGCAACACTGACACCATCAGGACAAACTGCAAGTGCCAAAATTGTCTTGTTTCATGTAGCATGCTGCTATTCACGGCCCTTTAAGACCTGAGATCACCTTGACTGAACATTCCACCTTCACCATTTCTGTACTCATTCATCTGCTGGCACCAGATGAGGAATGTAGGAAAATGGTCATCGAGTAGGAATTCAAGTGCACACAAAGGATGTTTTTAATGTAATAAATATCACAGCACTTTGAGCTGACAATACATTTCTACCAATTTGTTTACTTGCTTTAATTAGATTATGAGCTCACACAAAACAAATAAAACGTACTGTAATTTATCATGTGACAAAATTCATTTCAAAAGGAGCGCTCTTTGTAATTTCATTTTGACAGCCCTTATAGCACACAGCGGGTGGTTTCATATTGTGCTTTTTTTTTTTTGATCTTCAGTGATTTCAGCATTTAGGGTGTAGATGGTGTCTGTGATTTGATGTGAAGCAGGTGTGGGGCGGTGCACGGCGCTGTGGCTGTGCTGCTCCTCATCCACGGTGCTGCGGTGCGGGCACTTAGGTGCACTGCTGGACTGGATGATTGTGTAAATGGAGGAGAAAGGAGCTGGAGGAGACACTTTTATGGCTGGCCAACCATAAATAGCAGCTACACAGAGGCACACGCTCACATATATCACAACAGACACGAATGCACGTGCACACAGACCGCGCACCATCATATGTCCTTAAATTTCCTCACATGCAATTCCTATAATTGGTGGTGGAAGCAGCTGCAATGACATCCAGGTTTTATGGCCAAGTGTCTGCAAAATGCTAATGCCTGAATGTCAGAGATTAGTCTCACTGACAACAGGAGAAACAAGATAATAGAATTTGAACCAAACTATCTGGTTTTGTTTTGCACAGAATCGTGAGCATGACATTAGCCGGCAGACAGCCGAGCAACAGGGAGGCCGAGCAGACAACAACAGCACCAACGTGTTGTACGTTGTATTAACAGCTTCACTTACAAATCACAAACTGTAATCAGGGAGACCATTTTAATAATATGTGCACACACAGACACATACACACACAAGTGTCACAACCTTACACCATCAAGCAAATTACATGCCTCTCCATTCACCCCCAGAGGTCACTCAACCTCATGGCCTGTTGGGCAACAAGCTGTTCAGCTAATCAGCAGAGAGCCTCTTCTCTCCAGGGAGTGGCTTATAGCGAACTCCACTGTGACATCACAACAAATAACAGCCACTGTGACATCACAATAGAGGCTTTGCAGAGACATCATAAATCTCTTTGTGATCACATCTGGTTCCACCCTGGAGGTCTGCTGCCAAACCGGCTGTAAGGTCTATACGACTAGCTGGCTGCAAGAATACGGGGTGATTATTGTAAGTAATGTTATAGCCGGATGTCCTGTTATGGAAAACAGTAGCTGAGCTTGTCATCACTCATATCAGCTGTGTCACATCACTTGCCATATTTACATCCTTACCACTGACTCTACAGCAGATAGTCAGTTTGTACTTTTGCTGCAAAACACATCTCAGCAGTCTTACTGGGTTGAACCAAAAAACATCTCTGTGTGACTTTCAACATGAAACAAATGCAAATAGGCCTTTGCACTCCTGGAAAAAACAGTGACTTGGGTGATTTGATCACAAGTGGAAAGCATCAGTTCACATCTGACATTAGAACTTGTCTCAACATGATGACCAGATCTGCTCTATGTGCAAATGACACCTTTGTACCATCTGCTTGCAAACAGAATGTAGTCTGAGTGATCAGATGTCATCAATGAGACTTGGGGGAAATTGTGCTTAGAACAGCCCACCTCTGATATCACCAAAGAGCCATGTTGATGCCGGGTATGAACTATAGACTGGC